GTAAAAAGACAGTATAAGTCATTATAATCCATAATTATGTCCCCACTGGATGCAACAAATGCCTCGTTTATAATGGGTTTTAATGTTTTTGAATCATCGCTCCGGCCGGACAAGGCATCACAGTATGGTAAGGGGCGTAACATTTCCGTCACACGCTTGAGGTATTCGGCCAATCACAACGCACTGGATAGCTGACCAATCAGAGCACACCTCGCTTTTCAGATCGATGAGCTTTGTAAAAATCGACGCGTTTCAGAAAGGTGGGGCATAGAGGAGAAACAATAATGTACAGTATGTGGAAAATAATGTGTTTTTTGAACTTTAAACCACATAAACACATTTCCTTACACCAAATACACAAAAGAATGTTCTTTTTAGCAACATCATATGATCCCTTTAATCACCAGAAAAACTGCCACAAAAACATGATTCCTATCTCCTTTGAGCCAGACCATTTGTTTAATTCACAACCGATTTTCACATGTATGACTGATTCTGAAAACTTTTTGAATACTTATAATTGTCATGAAAACCAAAACTTTTGACATTTGACTGCTTTTGTTATTTTGATAGGTGCATTACAGCTGACACATACATAATTTGAAAAATCTTTATTCTTATTTTGTGAAAAAACTGTATGTGATGGAAAGATTTTATTGATATTTAAATAATAAGGTAATATTAGTTTTGTTTTTTTTTGCAGATTAGCAGAATTTTGTTTTTTTTTCAAGATTCAGGGCTGTGTTATAGACCTTCTTGGTCGCCATATATTAAAAAGTGACATGTTTGTCAAAAACCATATTTGCCTACCTGGTCCCAGTCTATGCTTCTGAAGAACGTATGAAACTTGATGTCTGTGAATCCAGTCTGAACTTGGCATCCCAGCCTCTCTTTCGGGTCCTGAAGAGAACACACACCCTATTAATAACAACACACCTAACAAAAGCCAGATCTGCTGTAGAGAACTTCGAAAACATAAAACTTCTTCAATTCATGTACTCTTTATTTCAAGAGAAATTAGGGAGTTTAACCAAAACGCATTCACTATTGTGTATGTTGTTGACGTTATCTTGTGCTCTGAGACGTTAGATGAGGATTCAGGGGTCTGGGAGCGACTCGCTGAGCAGATCTACACTCATTTAATCCCAATGAATCAGGCAGAGGCTAAGAGGGCTGATAACACTGATTACAGGCTGCTGTTGAATTTGAAGAACACCAGAGCTTCAATAAATCCAATTTGTCTCGATGATTAAAGGAAAACGCTTCATTATTCATAGATTTAATCAAGCCGACATGCACACGGGCACACGAAAAGAAGCATGCACACCCTCAAGATATCGGTTTCATCTGGAGGATGATGACCCTCCTTATTATAGCACATATATTTGTTCAGTCAGAGGCAAACTGTGTGCACATTCTTGTAGAATTAAGACCCTCCTTCATAAACCAGTGTGCATTGTGCATGAATTATGACATTTTTTCCTCCCTCAGAGCATATTTGTTTCTCATCCATCTTTTTTTGTGTAATGGAGCACAACAGTGATCAAGGTTTCAGAGGAAAAAGAATAAACTACTCATTAAGTAAAGAATTATGTATGATGTAATTGAATCAGTCTGGGTTTGCTTATAAAAAAAAAAATACAACTACTGACTTTTATAGTTATTTTAAATTATTGTTATTAGATAGCAATAAT